GCTCATAGTGGCATCTTAATATTTGATTATAAATTGTCTATGCTACCCTTAACAAGATGAATCATGAAAATGTAGATATTTATATTGCGCGCAAGTGATTTAAAATTTTTGAATCAATTTTTGAATTATAGCATCGAGCAGAACTAAACGACAGCGAATATTGACTTTTTTTCAGATCGCCTGGTGGTACACCTGTTGTGCGACATACCAGGGCACATGCTGGCTCAGACGAGGTTTGTTTTTCTAAAATTTCCTTTCTTGTTCATTGTGGGAAATATACGACTTACCACTATAACTTGATTTTGCTGATTAAAAAAGGAAGAGAACTTTAGATTCTAATTTCATGCCCATAGTCTTGGCCAAAGAACATTGTATCGTTGATGTACCACCATAGAAATGAAAGGCCTATTTTGAAATGTGTCCAAATGGCACGCCAAAGACCCTTTTATCACAGACATGACTATACACACATGGTAAAGCAACCAATGAGAGATGTGGACAGCGCAAATGCCTTATTTATTTAGAGCTAAGCAAATTCCTGCGAAAAAAAGTCGAGTATTGTCATTTCTCGACTTTTTTTCGCAGGAACTTGACTTAGTCATTTTTTTCTTTTCGATTTCTTTAACAGAAATCTTGTTTTTTTCGATACTTCCTTTTTTTTTTCGTAAATGGGATTCCTCTTCTCTTTACCATAATCATTTAGGGGAATTACTTGGCGAATGCACTTCGCGAAAAGTTTCGCGCAGTGCAAGAAACGCTCTCCGAACACGAAGATGATGTCAACAACTCCAGCTGGTTAGAAGATGATGCAGATTTTTAGCTATGTGAGGTATATTTTCTGTAATAGGATCTGGGATATAGCTTTTTTTCTTCGAAGGTACTTATCAGTGAATTCTAAACTCCGCATATTTTATCTCATCTCAATGAAGTTTTTGGTGCTACTTACAAATCCTTGTGATCCTTAAGTTATATCTAGAAAACTCGTATTGCCCTGCCTTCGATTTCCTCTTCTTCTGAAGCAAAATCGCAATATTTATATACGGGATTGAGCGTCTTTATAAACTCTCAGTATTCGAGTTGTTCCTTAAATTTGTGAGTATTCTAGTGATTAACTGTATCGTCCAGTGCTGTTCAACGTTTTCGCTCAATAAACAAAGAAATGAACAGTTTCAAATCATTTTCTTTATTAGGCATAAATCAGTTTAACAAGTTGGAAATTTAAAAATAGATGCTTTTCGTATTTGAAGGCTTGCTTGACGTTATTTCTAGTTTTTAATGTGCCCACACAATCGTCCATCCAGTAAATACATCCGTTCCAAGTCCACAGACGGTTTTTCCTGTTAAATTTATTGTTTTAATGTTTATCGTTGTGCCAAGGCAGGACTCGCGCATTTGATATACCATTTGTGAAGATCAAGAACACGGAATGATGAAGTATGGCATCTTTTCATTTACCTTTACAATACTGGTCAGCAGCTCTTTATGCAACCTAGCGGTTTTGATGTATGTTGAGGGTAGTAGGTAACTCTGCTTGTTTCTACAAAGTCCAAAACGTTCGTAACACCGCCTTGCTCTACTTCAGCGACGCCTTGCCTAAGCAGGATTAAAGGAAGACTCTATGTTTGTGGGCTAAAAAAGAACGCTGGAAAGCAAGTGGATGCGCCAAATATGGGCGAATTGGAGGTTTGTCGCCTTCCGCGTGACATCCTTTTGCGACTACTTATCTCTGCCGGTATTGTGACTTGTTGTCTCATAATCAGAAAAACTCATGTACAAGATTACGAAAAGGTGTTGTATGTTCTAAGTTTAATAACATTCCATTCTTTACCTTATTTTGAATTTCATGAAAAAAAAAAACAAATTTTTTTCCAGTTACATTTTTGTAGCTATTGAAATTGTGGGAGAGCCATTTGTGTGCTTCATTATATTGCATTGTATTTGCGATTAGTCCAGTCATGAAGGACGAACGT